CAGTGCTCCCAGTTGCCCTGTACTCCACCTTGGTGCTCCTGAGCGCGAGAGCTCAGGGTATCAGGACTTCCCCCAGTGCCTCCCAGTCCATCCCAGTATCCTCCCAGTACTGACAGAGCACACTCCCAGTGCCTCCCATTCCCCTAACAACAGCACCCAGTGCCTCCCAGTGCTCCCAGTTGCTCTGTATCCACTTTCATCCTCCTCGATGCAGGTGCCCAGTGCGTTGGGGCTCTCCCCAGTATGTCCCAGTATCCTCCCAGTCTGTCCCAGTGCCCTCCCAGTAACTCCCCAGTGCCTTCTGAGGAACATCCCAGTACCTTCCAGTACTTCCAGTTGTGCTGTACCCACCTTGGTCCTCCTGGGTGTGGGTACCCAGTGCATCAGGACTCCCCCCAGTGCCTCCCAATCTGTCCCAGTGCCCTCCCAATGCATCCCAGTACCTGACCGGTCTGCTCCAGTGGCCTCCCAATGTGTCCCAGTAACTTAACAGTGCCTCCCAGTCTCTCCCAGTGCCCTCCCACTGTGTCCCAAGACCTGACCAGTCTGCTCCAATGGCCTCCTGATGTATCCCAGTACCTTACCAGTGCCTCCCAGTCTCTCCCAGTGCCCTCCCACTGTGTCCCAAGACCTGACCAGTCTGCTCCAATGGCCTCCTGATGTATCCCAGTACCTTACCAGTGCCTCCCAGTCTCTCCCAGTGCCCTCCCACTGTGTCCCAAGACCTGACCAGTCTGCTCCAATGGCCTCCTGATGTATCCCAGTACCTTACCAGTGCCTCCCAGTCTCTCCCAGTGCCCTCCCACTGTGTCCCAAGACCTGACCAGTCTGCTCCAATGGCCTCCTGATGTATCCCAGTACCTTACCAGTGCCTCCCAGTCTCTCCCAGTGCCCTCCCACTGTGTCCCAAGACCTGACCAGTCTGCTCCAATGGCCTCCTGATGTATCCCAGTACCTTACCAGTGCCTCCCAGTCTCTCCCAGTGCCCTCCCACTGTGTCCCAAGACCTGACCAGTCTGCTCCAATGGCCTCCTGATGTATCCCAGTACCTTACCAGTGCCTCCCAGTCTCTCCCAGTGCCCTCCCACTGTGTCCCAAGACCCAACCAGTCTGCTCCAATGGCCTCCTGATGTATCCCAGTACCTTACCAGTGCCTCCCAGTCTCTCCCAGTGCCCTCCCACTGTGTCCCAAGACCCAACCAGTCTGCTCCAATGGCCTCCTGATGTATCCCAGTACCTTACCAGTGCCTCCCAGTCTCTCCCAGTGCCCTCCCACTGTGTCCCAAGACCCAACCAGTCTGCTCCAATGGCCTCCTGATGTATCCCAGTACCTTACCAGTGCCTCCCAGTCTCTCCCAGTGCCCTCCCACTGTGTCCCAAGACCCAACCAGTCTGCTCCAATGGCCTCCTGATGTATCCCAGTACCTTACCAGTGCCTCCCAGTCTCTCCCAGTGCCCTCCCACTGTGTCCCAAGACCCAACCAGTCTGCTCCAATGGCCTCCTGATGTATCCCAGTACCTTACCAGTGCCTCCCAGTCTCTCCCAGTGCCCTCCCACTGTGTCCCAAGACCCAACCAGTCTGCTCCAATGGCCTCCTGATGTATCCCAGTACCTTACCAGTGCCTCCCAGTCTCTCCCAGTGCCCTCCCACTGCGTCCCAAGATCTGACCAGTCTGCTCCAGTGTCCTCCTGATGTGCCCCAGTACCTCACCAGTGCTTCCCAGTGCCCCGAGCTGCCCTGTACCCGCATCAATTCTTCTGGGCAAGGGTGCCCAGTGCAGAAGAACCCCCCCAGTAACTCCCAGTGTGTTCCAGCATCCTCCCAGTGCCTCCCAGTGCCCTTCCAGTGCCTCCCAGTGCCCACCTTGGTCTTCTGGGCGGCATCATTGTAGTTGACCTGCTTGCGCACCCGCTTCCCCTTGCCCAGGTTGCGCGCCAGGTCCTCCTGCTGCTGCTCGTAGTGGTGTCGCAGCAGCTTCTCCCAGTAGTCGGGGTCAACGTTCTCCTCCTGCTTGATGATCTCCCGCTCGATCTCCTCGATCTGCCGGCACACCCACCGTCAGCGGCCGCCAGGGCACCCCCGTCGGCCTGAGGTTGCCACCACCAGGTCTGTCGTTGCTGTCTCCAGTGTCCCCAGCTCCATCATCCCCAGCTCCATCATCCCCCATCCCCATCACCTCCCACCCCCATCATCCCCACCACCATCTCCATTGTCCCCATCCCCATTGTCTCCATCGTCCCCCGTCTCCGTCTCCCATCACCTCCACCTCCATCATCCCCATCACCTCCATCATCCCCGTTCTCGTCTCCATCATCCCCATCTCCACTTCCATCATACTCATCTCCACCATCCCCATCCTCTACGCCTCCATCATCCCCATGCTCTACATCTCCACTGTCTCCATCATCTCCATCGTTCCCACCACCACCATCCCTATCTCCATTGTTTCCATCATCCCCATCCTCATCTCTATCCTCCTCCTCTCCATCTCCATCCTCTTGATCTCCCCATCATCTCCACCTCCACTGTCCTCACCATCTCCATCTCCATCATTTCCGTTGTTCCCATCCCTGTTGTCACTGACCACATCGTTCCTATTGTTTCCATCTCCACCATCCCCATGCTCACGATCTCTATCTCCATCATCTTTGTAGTTCCCATCTCCATCATCCCCACTGTCCCCTTCTCCATGTCTCCACCTTCTCCTATCCCCACCGTCCCCATCATCTCCAGTGTCCCCATCTCCATCGTTCACATGCCCACTGTCTTCATCATCTCAGTCATCCCTATTCCCACTGTCTCCATCATCTCCATCCGCATTGTCTCCACCATCCGTCTCCACTGTCCCCATCATCTCCATCCTCCCCATCTCCACTGTCTTCATCATACCCATCCTCCCCATCATTCCCAACCCCACCGTCCTCATCTCCATCACCCCCATCTCCACCGTCCCCATTGTCCCCATCTTCCCCATCATCGGTCTCCATCATCTCCAGCGTCCCATCTCCATTGTCTCCGTTGTCCCCACCTCCACCATATCCATTGTGCCCATCATCCCCATTGTCCCCATCTTCCCCATCATGTCTCCATCATCTCCAGCATCCCCATCTCCATTGTCTCCGTTGTCCCTACTTCCACCTTATCCATTGTCCCCATCATCTCTATCTCCATCATCTCCATCGTCCCCACCTCCACCACCTCCATTGTCCCCATCTCCATCATTCCCATCATCTCTATCTCCATCATCTCCAGCATCCCTGTCTCCATCGTCCCCACCTCCACCATCTCCACTGTCCCCACCACCTCCATCATCCCCACCGTCCTCCCCTTCACATCCTATCTCGTGTCCCCGCATCCCCGTCCCCCGGGCGCACCTTGTCCTCCTCACGCACGACGTACTGGGCCACCTTGAAGGAGCTGAGGTACTCGTTCATGTTCTGCACATCGGCATCGTCGGTGGCATCCTGGTTGCGGTCAAGCAGCCGGGCGATGGCCTCGTTGTCGTAATGGATGACGCTACTGTCCTCCTCCTTGTTCTCCCCTGCGCCGGCGACACGCTGCTGACACGGCCTGACTTGGTCCAGCAGGGCCTGGCACGGCTCAACATGGCCTTGGCATGCTCCAACATGGCCCAACACGGCCTGACATGGCCCAACACAATCCAACATGGCCCAATGTGGTCCAACGTGGCCTCCCACAGCCCAACATGGTCCAACATGGCCCGACACGGCCTGACATGACCTAATATGGCCCAGTGTGGCCCAACATGGTCCAGCATGGCCCAATACAGCCCAACACGACCTGACATGGCCCAACACAGTCTAATATGGTCCAACATGGCCCGACACGGCCTGACATGACCTAATATGGCCCAGTGTGGCCCAACATGGTCCAGCACAGCCCAGTACAGCCCAATGTGGCCTGACACAGTCCAATATGGTCCAACATGGCCCAATATGGTCCAATATGGCCCAACACGGCCCAACACAGCCCAACGTGGCCCATCATGGCCTGACATGACCTAGTACGGCCCAGCATGGTCTAGCATGGCCCAGAACAGCCCAACACAGCCTACGTGGCCCAACACAGTCCAATATGGTCCAACATGGCCTAACATGGTCCAACATGGCCTCCCACAGCCCAACATGATCCAACATGGCCCATCACGGCCTAACATGACCTAATATGGCCCAGTGTGGCCCAACACGGTCCAGCATGGCCCAACACGGCCCAACATGGCCTGACACAGTCCAATATGGTCCAACATGGCCTAACATGGTCCAACATGGCCTCCCACAGCCCAACATGATCCAACATGGCCCATCACGGCCTAACATGACCTAATATGGCCCAGTGTGGCCCAACACGGTCCAGCATGGCCCAACACGGCCCAACATGGCCTGACACAGTCCAATATGGTCCAACATGGCCTAACATGGTCCAACATGGCCTCCCACAGCCCAACATGATCCAACATGGCCCATCACGGCCTAACATGACCTAATATGGCCCAGTGTGGCCCAACACGGTCCAGCATGGCCCAACACGGCCCAACATGGCCTGACACAGTCCAATATGGTCCAACATGGCCTAACATGGTCCAACATGGCCTCCCACAGCCCAACATGATCCAACATGGCCCATCACGGCCTAACATGACCTAATATGGCCCAGTGTGGCCCAACACGGTCCAGCATGGCCCAACACGGCCCAACATGGCCTGACACAGTCCAATATGGTCCAACATGGCCTAACATGGTCCAACATGGCCTCCCACAGCCCAACATGATCCAACATGGCCCATCACGGCCTAACATGACCTAATATGGCCCAGTGTGGCCCAACACGGTCCAGCATGGCCCAACACGGCCCAACATGGCCTGACACAGTCCAATATGGTCCAACATGGCCCAATATGGTACAATATGGCCCAATATGTCCTCACACAGCCCAACATGGCCCAACACGGCCTGACATGACCCAGTACGGCCCAGCATGGCCCAGTACCCCCAACACAGCCTGACATGGCCCCACATGGCCCAGCATAGTCCAACAGGGCCCAATACGGTCCAATGTGGCCTCACGCAGCCCAACGTGGTCCAATATCGCCCATCACGGCCTGACATGACCTAGTACGGCCCAGCATGGTCTAGCATGGCCCAGAACAGCCCAACACAGCCTACGTGGCCCAACACAGTCCAATATGGTCCAACATGGCCCAGTATGGTCCAACATGGGCTCACACAGCCCAACATAGTCAAACATGGCCCAACACAGCCTGACATGACCTAGTACGGCCCAGCATGGTCTAGCATGGCCCAGAACAGCCCAACACAGCCTACGTGGCCCAACACAGTCCAATATGGTCCAACATGGCCCAATATGGTCCAACATGGTCCAACATGGCCTCACACAGCCCAACATAGTCCAACATGGCCCAACACAGCCTGACATGACCTAATACGGCCCAGCACGGCCCAACACGGCTCGACATGGCCGCCCAACATGGTGGCCCACCACAGCCTGGCATGCCCCAACATGGCCCACCACGGCCTGGCACAACCAACACAGCCTAACACAGTCCAGCTACAGCCTGACATGGCCCAACACAGCCCAACATGACCTGACACACACTAACATGGTCTGTCACAGCCTGGTACAGCACAGCACGGCCTCACACACCTGGTCATCACCTCATATGTCCCATCACAGCCCTGTCGCAGCCTCCCACACCCCATCATGGCCTCATACCTTCTATCATAGCCTCACATGTCCCATCAGGGCCTCATATGTTCCATCATGGCCCCACATGTCCCACCACAGCTTCATGGGCCCCATCGGGGTCCCATCATGTTCTTGCATGCTTTTCATGACCTGTCACAACCCCATCACGACCCCACGTGTCCCACCACGGCCTTGCATGTCCCACCATGGCCCCATCATGGCCTTGCATGTCCAAACATGACCTCATCATGACCTTGCATGTTCCATCATGGGTTTCCATAACATTTCACCGCCTCACATGTCCTGTTATGGCCTTGCATGTCCTGCCATGGCCTCACACATCCCATCACGACCTCAAACGTCCCACCATAGCTTTGCATGACCCATCATGACCTTGCACATCCCACCACGGCTCTGCATGACCCATCACGACCTTGCACATCCCACCACGGCTCTGCACGACCCATCACGACCTTGCACATCCCATCATGGCTCTGCATGACCCATCATGATCTTGCACACCCCACCACGGCTCTGCATGACCCATCATGACCTTGCACATCCCACCACGGCTCTGCATGACCCATCATGACCTTGCACATCCCATCATGACTTTGTGTGACCCATCATGGTCCCATCATGACATTGCACATCCCATCGTGGCTTTGCAAGCCCAGTCACAGCCCATCACGGGCCCCCACGTCCTACCATGGCCTCCCACATCCTACCATGGCCTCCCACGGCCCACCACGGCCCACCACATCCCACCATAGCCTCCCACGGCCCACCACAGCCTCCCACATCCCCCCGCAAAGCCCGGCACACCCCGTCCCACCCATCCCCAATCCCGTCGGGCGCTGACCCTCATTCTCATCCTTGAAGAGCTCCTCAGTGCCAAACTTGAGGATGTCATCAAGCTCCTGCTTGGACATGGAGCCGGCCTTGGAGCCCAGCCCCGGGCGCACCACCAAGTGCGTCAGCATCATCTTGCGTTTGGCCACCTGCGTGATGCGTTCCTCCACCGACGCGCGCGTGACAAACCGGTAGATCATCACCTTGTTGGCCTGGCCGATGCGGTGCGCCCGGCTGAAGGCCTGTGGGGACAGGGACGCGTCAGAAGAAGGACGTGGAGATGGGAGACACGTCAGGGCAGGAAAGTGGTGGTGGGGGACAGGGTGAGGGGACGTCAGTAGGGACGTTGTGGTGAGGGACATGGTGAGGGGAACATCAGAGCAGGGACGCGGCAGTGGGAGACGTGTCAGAGCAGGGACAGGGTGGTGGGAGACACGGTGGGGGACCCGTCAGAGTGGGAACAGGGTAGTAGGGACAGGGTGGGGGACCTGTCAGAGCAGGGACATGGTGAGGGCTGTGGTGGCAACAGGGGACAGGGACACAGTGGGGGACACAGGGACAGGGCGGGAGAAATGGGGGAGGGTTGGGGACAGGGTATTGGGATGGGTGATAGGGCGGGTGACAGGGTGCTGGGTGGGAGATGCTGGGCAAGGGACAGGGTGTAGGGTGGGTGACACCAGTAGGTGACAGGGTGCCCAGAGGGGGTGCCAGGTGGGTGACACCGGGTGTGTGACAGGGTGCCGGGCGAGTGACAGGGTGCCAGGCGGGTGATACCGAGCGGTTGATAGGGTGCTCGGGTGGGTGACAGGGTGACAGGCGGGTGATGCCAAGCGGGTGACATGGTGCCAAGCAGCTGACATCGGGTCGGTGACACGGTGCTGGGGTGGGTGATGCCAGGCAGGTAACAGGGTGCCGGGTGGGTGAGGCTGGGCGGGTGACAGGGTGCTTGGCGGGTGACGCTGGGCGGGTGACAGGGTGCTGGGGAGGGTGACGCC